TGGCACATTACACTGTAAAACCTTTAACACTGGTGCAATAAAATATTTATGTGCTGTGTCAGTGCCAGCTTACAAAAAATTCAATACCTGACACATACATGTGTGTTGGGGGTAGGGCAGTGTGCACCCACATGAACGACACTAAAAAACGATCTCTTTTAGTTCATATTACATGTAAATTATGTGTGCATGCTAAGTGGCTTCAGTCATGTCTGACTCTTTGCAACCCTATGGACTGAAGCCTGCCAGCCTTCTGTGTTCGTAGGATTTTCCAGGCAAGAATACTGGAGTGGATTGTCATTTCCTCCACCAGGGGATCTTCCTGACCCAGGAATTGAACTCACGTCACCTGTGGCTCCTGCATTGCAGGAGATAGTTTGCCGCTGAGCCAAGATTTAAGCAATTGACTGAATCTGAATTGACACTGTCAACTCAGTTCATTTGCATGCTGATCATCATATATATAATTTTTTTAATTTATAAAAAGAAAGGAAAATTTAGTCTTTATTCCTAGCTTTTCAGTCCCAAACTGATAACCATAGATCAGACAAGGCAGGCCTTCCACATTAAGCCTTCAAGGAATGACATGCCATGAGTCCACCTAGGTTTAAATTTTATCAGTTTTAAATGTAAAGCAGTCCCCAAAGTTCAAAAATAACATGACTCAGAAGTGAGTCTAAAAATAAATAGGTTCTTCTCAGAAAACTATAGAACATTCACCCACTTAGAAGCAGCCTCACCAAAAACAAGTAGGAACAAAGGAAGCGAAGGCTCAGACATAAGAAAGAAAAGTAACTTATAATATTTTGAAAATCAATGTGAACATAGGTTTAAAAAACAGTTCAAAGAAATCTATTTTGTTAAGACCCCTTAGAATAGTCTAATGCCTTCTAGTAACTAAGTTTACTTCAGGTTCTAACTCAAACTTAAATATTTTTTTCTTTTATTAATTTTTTATTAAAGTATAGTTGGTTTACAATGTGTTAGCTTCAAGTGTGCAGCAAAGTGATTCATATACACACATGTGTCTATATCTATATATGTATAAATATACATATTCATTTTCATATTCTTTTCCCTTATAGGTTATTTCAAAATGCTGAGTAAACTTCCCTGTGCTGTAACAGTAGCTCCTTGATGGTCATCCATTTTTATTAATAGTAGTGAATATCTGTTAATCCCAAACTCCTAATGTATCCCTCTCCCTCTTTCCCCTTTGGTAATCACAAGTTTATGATCATTTATTTTTAAACTTTTTAATAATTATGCTATGTCACATTGACTGACACACCAACAGCCTGGAGTTACCTATTTCAAAAGAAAAAGCAATCTTGTTCTCTCTAGTAGGGTTACGAATATCTTGTGTATCCAGCTATTCGTTTATTTTAAAGATTACCCATCTTAGGTTTACATGCAAGAAGATACAGTCACAACAAAGACCTATGCATTATCTCAGGGGGGATGTTTATTACCTGCTGTGATGTCCCTGGCTGGATGTCCCAGCTGGGAGAGACTCAGCTTGAATCTTCCATCAGTAAGAACTCATGGCATGTCATTCCTTGAAGGCTTAATGTGGAAGGCCTGCTTTGTCTGATCTATGGTTATCAGTTTGGGACTGAAAAGCTAGGAATAAAGGATGAGACCTCCTGACCTACGCTGAAGCTGACTGGCCAGCAGCAGTCCTGCTCTGTTCCATGTTCGAAATTGGAAGATCACAGACACTTTGTCCTCTCCAGAAGCACCCGGCAGCACCAAGTGACTCTTGGAGCTCAGAAAAGTCACGGGGACAGTGTGCGTGTGTGAGCAGGAGAAGGACACGTTTCCCTGTTAACACAGTGAAACAGGCTTTAGGAAAGCACAGTCGGAATGCTTCCATTTCACAGACAACAGATTTTCCAAGACTTACTGAATTTCTTATCAATAATTCAGCAATCTAGGATTTTTAAAATGAGGCTTCCCCATCAAACTTAAATCCAGATTTACGTTGTAGGTCCTTTGAAGCACTGTTAAAGGACTTCCCTGGTAGCCCAGTAGTTAAGAGTCTGCCTGTCAATGCAGGGGACATGGGTTTGACTCTTGGTCCAGGAACTAAGATCCCACATCCCGTGGGGCAACTAAGCCAACTGCAATCTGTGGGCCCTAGGGCCCACGCTCTGCAACAAGAGACATCACCAAAATGAGAAGCCCATGAAATGCAATTAGAGAGTTGCCCCTACTCACTGCAACTAGAGAAAGCCCGTGCATGCACAGCAATGAAAGGGCAATGAAGACCCAGTGCAGCCAAAAATAACTAAATATAAAAATGAAAAGAAAAAGTGCTGTTCAGTTGGGCAAACCTATTTCTGAGTTTCTGAGGAACTGTCCATCTCCATTACCAAGCATTTGCAAAGGAATCCTGAGCCACATTTTCCCAGACTTAATGCTGGGTGTGCAAGTTACGGTCTTTCCAGTAGTCACATACCAATGTGAGAGCTGGACCATAAGGAAGGCTGAGAACCAAAGAATTGATGCTTTTGAATAGGGCTTGAGAAGACTAAAAAGTCCCTTGGACAGCAAGGAGATCAAACCAGTCAATCCTAAAGGAAATCAACCCTGAATATTCATTGGAAAGACTGATGATGAAACGCCTATACTTTGGCCCCCGGATGTGAAGAGCCGACTCACTGGAAAAGACCCTGATGCTGAGGGCAGGAGGAGAAGTGGGCGACAGAGGGTGGGAGATGGCTGGATGGCACTATGGACTCAATGGACATGAATCTGAGCAGACTGTGGGAGACAGTGAAGGACAGGGAGGCCTGGAGTGCTGCAGTCCGCGGGGTCGTGAAGAGGCTCAGCTGAGTGACAGAACAGTGGCAACATGCCAGGCGTGGGACACAGCATAAGGGACAGGTGCAGGCTAGCACCAAGGGTCACTGACTCCAGGAGCTTTCTTGTGCTTGTCTTGACTATGTAAACATGATTGGAAGTGTGTCCCTCAGGCGATAGCTACACCTGACTATAGGCAGGGCATGTGCTTTGCATGTCTGAAGATAAGAATGTGGCCAGGTTGGTCCTGCCACAGGTAGGCTGGTCTTTTCTCTAAACTTCTTACAAACCAAATCACCCAAGGCTATCACCCAGCCTGAGATCTGATCTGTCTAGCAGCCTGTTTTTATTTGTATATAATTCTGTTTTTAAAGATATTTTTAATCCTTACAATATGTCTACTGCTCCAGGAACAAACTATTTTTAATCATAGTGCTTGGACAGGACGGGCTCAATATAATTCCAATTAAACCCTCTATAAGAATTTTGTCTGAAGATAAAAACTTTTCTATAGATTTCAGATAGCAGAATACATACTCAAACATTACTCTTCCTCTCCAAAAAATAATAATGCAAATAAAAAACCAGTGAGACAGAACTTACCAGATAGCAAAGCATACTCTGAAGTTATGTAAGCAAATCAGTGTGTTATTGGTGTAGGAACAGACATAGCAGTGGGACGGAACAAGGGACTCACAAAAAGATTTGAGAGTACATGTTATATGTGAATATATAATATTAACATAATACATGTAATATATACAAAATATATATTATAATATATAATATAAATGATATAATATTAATAACAAAGGGTTATCTATCAAATATATAACTGTCTTGTAAATTGACCAAAAATTAAAGAAATAAAATAAAAATTAGGCAAAAGAATAAGAGTGAACAATGATCAGAAAAACAAGTCCAAATGGACCAAAAAAGGTGAGAAGATTATTTAATTCACCAGTAGTCCCATAAACACAAAGTAACAAAGAGATATTAGTTCATGTTCCTTGAGCTGGCAGGGGTACATGAGGGCTGGCTGAGATGTGATGGAAGGTTCTAACATACATTGCTGGTGGAAAATGTCATGCTATAGCTTCTTGTAAAGCAATCCAACAACATTTATTAAAATGTAAAACTATATAAAACTTGTGACCAAGAAATTCTACTTCTGGAATTTCATCTCATGAAAAGGGAAGGCCCTGTACTCAGCATACATGTGCAACTGTTAGCTTACAGTGGTAAAAAAAATCTAGATAAAGCAAATGCCCTGAGTAGGAAATGACTAGATAAATAATGGTACGTTTTCCTAATGGATAGTGATGTAAACATTCTAATGTAGAACTATTTCTGATAATGGAAAAGAATTCCTACAAGGTATTGTTGAATCAAAAATCTAGATGGAGAAAAACTTTTATAAAATGATTTTTTTGTAAACAATGTCAAATGTGGAAGCATACAGATTCATAAATACATGTGTGAGTATGAGTCTATCTATCTATAGAGGATTCCATTACTATGGACCAAACAAGGAAGGACAAATGTTAGCTTAGTAACATCCCAGCTTGACAGAGGGACTGTAGCCATGTGGAGAATATGGAGAAAGAAGGAAGAAACCTATTGAAAAGAAAACCACTGCATTAAAATGCCTTAATATGATTGTACTTTAACATTTTTGTGAAACTATTCATCTATTTCCACAAACACAGAAAAATGAAACCACACATAAACTAAAAAAGTACAGTAGGCTTTCTGTATGCCCAGGTTCTGCATCCTCATATACAACAAACCAACCAGGAAAATATTGAGAAAGAAAAATTTCAGAAAGTTCCAAAAAGCAAAACTTGAACTTGACCGGCACCAGCAACTACTCACATAACAACTGCATTGTGTTGACAACTATTTACATATCATTTACATCGTGTTAGGTACTATATATAATCTAGAGTTGATTTAAAGTATATGGGAGGACATGACTAGGTTATATGCAAATACTGTGCCATTTTATACAAGGGAGTTGAGCATCCTTGGATTGCTCCAACTCGGGGGTTCTGGAACCAATTCCCCAAGGATATCTAGGGATAACTATACACATGATTTGTACCTTCCCTGCCTTCAGAAGAGGTATATTTTAAAGATGAATCAATCAAACTGCAGTTCCCTTTTCTCTTGGACTTGCGTATAGACTTTCTTACCATGATGAGGACCTGTGGCTTGTGTTTCTTGGACAAATCAATGATATCCACTCCATTATAATAGAGATTTTCAAAGCAGCCATGAAAGTTTTTATGTGGGAATGCCACTGATTTTCCATGTCCAGGAATCCCTCTGAAGCTGATCTTAGAAAGAAAAAAATGACATAAATAACATTGTTTAATGATTTTCTGATTATCTGCCTAAACATGTATGATTAGCAGGCATAGTGGTAATTGTCTCAAATCTGCTTGGCATTATTTTATATTATCATGCTAATTTCAAAGGAGGTTTTATATGTATTTACCAATGCTTTATTTATTACACTGAGATAAATATATTAAATGTCCTTCCTACAATTTGCTGCTATTCATATAATTCTGTCATTTTTGTTGATGGGGAATATTGATCTTTATGCCCACAGTAAATCTCGATTTGTGTGACAAGGCAGCCTACTCTGAGGATATTCTACTTTATAAACTAGACTATGGGATCCTGCTCTTTGCCACGACTCTGATAGATTAGAATTACAAAGCCACTAATAATATCATTTAAGACCAGAATCGCCAACTGGTTCCTGCTGCTGAGGCCACTCATACCAAGTGAATGTTGAAACCTGACAGATGTGCTCAGTAGAAGTGGCAGAACAATGCATTTCAGTGTATGTTAGACACACATGGGCAACATGCTGCAAATACTGCCAGGTGTTTAAAAACCCCAAGAAACAGTATTCTGAGATGTGTGCACCTGGCCTTCTTGTTACTTAAAAAATTCAGATTGGAATATATGTGGATTACTTCTCTAAATTATCCTAGGTAGCTAATTCTGTTTAGGATTGCGCTAAAACAAAGAAATCTTGAAGGTAATATCTGCAGCCAAACACCAGATGAAATACAGAGGAACTGTTTGAACAAATGCATTTAAAAATATTCTTTGTTGAACTGGTAGCTCTTCATGTATGGATTTCCTAAATTTAACAACTATTTACTCTCATGTGAAGACTAACATCTGTAAGGAATAAAATGTCTCAATAGCTTGAGCATGTATCTTCCAGTGTGAAGTTACCACACGTAAGAAATATTTTATCAGAATTCTGAATTAGTAGGAAAGGGAATTTTTCAATGTAGTAGTATTTTCTATAGAAGATTATGCTACAATCAAATGATAAAATCTGTCATACTTAAAAAGTCATTTCACACCTTATAATCGAGATCCACATAGTTGGACTCTCCTTTCGCCTGAAAATGATGAGTGTACGTGTCCACAGTGAAGTTGACATCTGTATTGAGGAGCTCAATGAGAACAGAATGCCAGTGCTCATCATCCAGCAAACTGCCCAGCATGAGAGCATCGGGCGAGGGCGAGCTAGCATGACCTGAAAAGGAAGAAGTGTAAATGCGCCGTTCCGTCTAGCTCAATACCATGATCAATGTTTTCAGGTTTAGCATTTCTCACATCAGTTACACTTTCCTTACATTCTTTTATCCCAAGAACTGGCGAGCTGCTTTTACCTTAATCTTAAATACAATCTTCTTTGATATTGAGTAACATCTCCTATCTAACTTGTTTTATTATTATGTACTGAATTTTCATTTTTCTTGAAAATATTTTCTTCCTAGGTCTTCATTCATAGGACTACTTCAAAAGTTTATGATAAGCCACCCTTGTCATCACGATATTATCAGGTTATTTATTGAGCATCTGCTACTGATCTTATATGATTATCAAGAAATAACACTTTTTACATAAAAGCACACTGAGGATCACACATGTCGTTCTTAGTAGAGCTCGACTGTAGGCGACCATGTGTCCATTTGCCGGGACAGCTCTGGTCTTCAGAATAATCATTTATAGGGTCTGCTTTCTTTCACAAAAGTGTTCTTTTTTGTTTATGTTTGTTTTGTTTTTTAAAGAAAGGCAGACTGCCACATGGAATGCCTCATTTGGATGTGTCTGGAGTCTTAGAAGCTTGACGACCCTATGTTCTCCTGCAAATGGACCTTGAGAGCTTGTTTTGAGGTTCTAGCAAAGAAGCAAAGCTATGCATATACCCTTGACCAAAGTATGGCCCTCCTCTAGAGGAGAAGGTGGTCCTCCTCAACCAAGAGCACAGCTTTGGGAGGAACACACGTGGAGCTGTGAGGGAGGGAGGGAACACCTTTCTAGCCAAGCCAGATCACCCGCACATCCAAAAGTACTCTGGTTTTAAATTAACTACTTAACTGTGAAGAAAAATTCATCATAAAAGATACTTTCATCCAAATAGTATTTCCCGAAACACTTTTTTTTTTTTTAACCTCAATTAAGGAATAAGATGAGTTTTCCTTTAACTAACTCCAGGGTGATGTATTTGTCATCTGGTCCTTCTCTGTGGAGTAGAATCCCGTTGTTCTATCTGGTTTTAAATTTCAGAGAAATAACTTCTTTGATTGGATTTATGGATTTATGATTAAGTGTGTACAGCAAAGAATTCTTCCCATCAAAATGAACCATCTCAGATCCTACAATGGAAGACATTAAAATGTGGTCTAATTATAATATAGTCTTATCAGTGCATTGAAAACTGTAAGTCAACACACACATATACATACATAGCATATCTCTGGCTTGTTTAACGTATCTAACGTATTTGGCATATCTCAACTCCACTGTTTGCCTTTTCTCACATCTTCCCCAAAATGTATCATCTAGAAATGTTGATTAATTTCAATTTCTCCTATCTTTTACTGGCCTATTTCCATCCTGTAAATAACAAAGATTAGGAAAAAAGTTAAAGTCAATTTCCCCTGAATAAAATCTCCCTGTACATTTAATAATCATTCAACATTTCTGTTTTTCTGAAAAGCTATACTAGTTCTCACAGACTGGTAAGAAACTAAATATCAGTGTCACTCAATGTAAATGGCTTAATTATTTCTGAACCAGGAACTCTGACTTTTAACAATTCTCACATAAGCACTCACTTTAATATATTTTTGTCTGGCCATAAAAGACACACATAAAGACATCAGATATACTAAATACTACTGCAGACCATATTAAAGGGTTCTCAGTAAACAGGCATATATTTTTATTACAACATTTTGGTCCAGGGACAGCACAAAAGGGCACGCCTATTTTGTGTTGTATCTTAAGCACACTAAGAAGATTGTTCTGCTACAGCCAGGCACTGCTACACTGTTGCCATGTACTGTATCTAACCTGTACATGGACATGCGTTTCATTCAGGTAAACTATTTCCAGTGCTTCCCTTGTGGCTCAGCTGGAAAAGAATCTGCCTTCATTGCAGGAAACCTGGGTTTGTTCCCTGGATTGGGAAGATACCCTGGAGAAGGGAGAGGCTACCCACTCCAGTATTCTGGCCTGGAAAACTCCTGTTCTGTAAAGCACATGGGGTTGTGCAAAGAATCCAACATGAATGAGCAACTTTCATTTCTTTCAATCTTTGGGCTTTCCTGGTGGCTCAGACAGTAAAGCATTTGCCTGCAATGAGGGAGACCTGGGTTCGATCCCTCGGTCAGGAAGATGCCCTGGAGAAGGAAATGGCAACCCACTCTAGTACTCTTGCCTGAAAAATTTCATGGATGGAGGACCCTGGTGGGCTACAGTCCATGGGGTCACAAAGAGTCAGACACGACTGAGCGACTTCACTTCACTTTAACTATTTCCAGAAAACCCTTGATATTCACAACTTAAAAAGAATAGTCCATTTTAAGCAGGTACCTTTTGAAAATATGGAAGTTTGATTCACATCAGTCAGTTCAGTTCAGTTGCTCAGTGGACGGACCTGAACCAACTTATTGCAACCCCATGGACTGCAGCACGCCAGGCTTCCCTGTCCATCACCAACACCCAGAGCTTACTCAAAACTCATGTCCATCAAGTTGGGGACGCCATCCAACTATCTCACCCTCTGTCATCCCCTTCTCCTCCCACCTTCAATCCTTCCCAGCACCAGGGTCTTTTCAGATAGTCAGTTCTTCCTATCAGGTGGCCAAAGTATTGGAGTTTCAGCTTCAGCACCAGTCCTTCCAATGAATATTCAGGACTGATTTCATTTAGGATGGACTGGTTGGATCTCCTTGTAGTCCAAGACACTCTCAAGAGTCTTCTCCAACACAATTCAAAGCATCAATTCTTTGGCGCTCAGCTTTCTTTATACTCCAACTCTCACATCCATACATGACTACTGGACAAAACAAAGCCTTGACTAGACAGACCTTTGTTGGCCAAGTAACATCTCTGTTATTTAATAGGATATATAGGCTGGTCACAGCTTTTCTTCCAAGGAGCAAGTGTCTTTTAATTTCATGGCTGCAGTCACCATCTGCAGTGATTTTGGAGCCCAAAATAATAAAGTCTCTCACCATTTCCATTGTTTCCCCAACTATTTGCCATGAAGTGATGGGACAAGATGCTGTGATCTTAGTTTTCTGAATGTTGAGTTTTAAGCCAACTTTTTCACTCTCCTCTTGCACTTTCATCAAGAGGCTCTTTAATTCTTCCTCACTTTCTGCCATAAGGGTGTTGTCATCTGCATATCTGAGGTTATTGATATTTCTCCCGGCAATCTTGATTCTAGCTTGTGCTTCTTCCAGCCCAGCGTTTCTCATGATGTACTCTGAATATAAGTTAAGTAAGCAGGGTGACAATATACAACCTTGATGTTCTCCTATCCCAATTTGGAACCAGACTGTTGTTCCAAGTCCAGTTCTAATTGTTGCTTTCTAACCTGCATGCAGATTTCTCAGGAGGCAGGCCAGGTGGTCTGGTATTCCCATCTCTTTAAGAATTTTCCAGTTTGTTGTGATCCATGCAGACAAAGGCTTTGGTGTAGTAAATAAAGCAGAAGTAGCTGTTTTTCTGGAACTCTCTTGCTTTTTCAATGATCCAATGGATGTTGGCAATTTGATCTCTGGTTCCTCTGCCTTTTCTAAATCCAGCTTGAACATCTGGAAGTTCACGTACTGCTGAAGCCTGGCTTGGAGAATTTTGAGCATTATTTTGCTAGTGCATGAGATGAGTGCAATTGTGAGGTACTTTGAACATTCTTTGGCATTGCCTTTCTTTGGGATTGGAATGAAAACTGACCTTTCCCAGTCCTGTGGCCACTGCTGAGTTTTCCAAATTTGCTGGCCTATTGAGTACAGCACTTTCACAGCATCATCTTTTATGATTTGAAATAGCTCAACTGGAATTCCATCACCTCCACTAGCTTTGTTCGTAGAGATGCTTCCTAAGACTCACTTGACTTCACATCCTAGGATGTCTGGCTATAGGTGAGTGATCACACCATTGTGGTTATCTGGGTCACGAAGATCTTTTTTGTATAGTTCTTCTGTGTATTCTTGCCACCTCTTCTCTTTGATTCACATACAAAATGTAAAATATATAAACACTGAACTCCATCTCTAAGCCATATAATCAAACAATTATTCTTTGTTACATAATTAAATAAACATGATTAATGAAAACATAATTATGTTAAATTCAAATGTGCCCCTTAGAGTATTAGATAATAATAAACTAATGAAAACGTGTTAGCAAAGAATTTAAATGTTTTCACATTTTTGCAGTATGGTTTATGTATCACTGAAAGGCAATGCTAATAATTAAGGCTTATTTTTGCAGTCAGCTAATAAATTTTTTTCTGTAAGTGATTTTCCCAGGATTACTTTGATTGAATTATTTTTTCCTCATCTTCCCTCTTGCTGTATTGCTTTGTAATTGTAATACTCATCTTCTAGGGCTCAGAATCTCTTGGAGGGTTTATTAAACACAGGCTGATAGGTTCTATCTCAGGGTTTCTGACTGACCAGGTGTGTGTGGGAGGGGGGTTGGGGGGAGCAGCCCTGAGTATCTGGGTTTCTAAAAAGTCCACTGTGATGTTGACGTGCCTGATCTGTGCCTATATTTTGAGAATCACTGCTCTAAAGCACCTAAATTATATTTCCCGGAATATTGTCCTCAGGTAAAATGGAGTCATGAAAAATGTATTATGTAATAGAAACACAAAAACATGGCTTTAAAAAATTTCTCTTTCTTAATGTTTTGACTCTATTTCTAATGTGATCACTAATACTAGTTTCTAGAACAATTAACTATATGTGAGTCATCAAATTATATTTTATGAGGCATATTCAACATGTATTTTGACACATTTTTTTAAGCCTAAAGTGACTAAATTATAATACAGATATGTAACCACTTAAAAATCATGTATCTTGTAACAGTTTAACTAAAATTTTAAATGATAATAACTTGAGCTCAATTGAAGAGGTTACTAAAGAGATAAAATTTAAAATTTGCTTTTAGAAACCAACTTTTAAGCTTCCCTTCATCTGAAACCATCCACATCATGCTTTAGCCTGTTAT